TCATCTTATTACTTTCAAGCATTTTAATTTTAGCTTTTGCCACTTTTTCATAAATGATACTGCTTGTATTATACATTCCATATTTCTGATCATGATAAAACATTCTTTAGAATGTATGTTTCTTTCTAATCTTGGTACTTGGTGTACAAAAATTGTGGATTATAGTTCTGCTGAGCAGCAGACTGGAAACGGCATTGAAAGTACTGTGTCCACACAAACTTCTTATAGGACCTATCATGCTGTGCTATTTTTCAAGAATTTTCTTCCTCCCTCAAATGCCACCTATGGGATCCTTTCTGAATCTACTAGCTTATGTGCTGAGGAAGAGCAGTTGGGTGGCCCTATGGACACTGCTGGTGTTTCTGCTCTTCCTGCACAGCAGGGCTGCTGTGAGAAAGAGGGTTGGAATCCGTCCACACCTCAGACTGCAGGTGTTTGCACAGTTCACTATGTGGTTATTCAGATGACATCACCAAATGCCATGACAAATCATTAGTTAACATTGGTCCATGAGGTGTCTATAATCATTTAGGTGAAACATTTCTAAATGGATTTACATTGGGTTTAGTATTTAGGTTGGATTTAATATTGAGATAATCAGTTTTCTATTTCCTCTTACTTCAATATTAAATGAATATTTTAAATGAATGCAATGTTTAAATGCAGTAATATTTTGGGAGACTGAATTCTCAACATTCCTACAGTAGAAGTACTCCATACCACATGCAGAATGGAATACCTTGAACTTTTCATGATTAATTTAGCAATAACTAAAAAAAAAATTCTTTTGATGCCATTTACTTACATGGACTTCAGTTGATTTATTTGAGTTGTTATACTAATTCTTTTTAAATGGAATTATAACGTATATGACTATTAAATGGAAGGAAAATATAACTTTTGTATTGGTACACATTCATTATTGCTATCACATACAAATATAATTTTCTAAAATAAGCTTTGGGTGCAAAATGAATACCAATAAAAACAAATTCAATTTAATATGTTTATTAAAAGCTAACTGAATTTATTAGATGCAGTTTTACAGTCATTTCAGTTAAAACTTCAAAAGCAAATTTCTCTGGGTGGTGGGTTATGGCCTGTGTGCTAGTAAGAATGTGTGTGGCATGGTGATAATCACCCTTCCTGACAACCGGAGGTGAAGAGCAAAGGTACACATTCATAGCTGATGGAAAAGCTGGAAAAGAATACAGGTTCTAGAGCACTTTAACAGACTACCTGATGCAACAAAATGCATGTTGTCACACAGCCAGACTTTGATTTTGCAGTGGTGAGGATCAAACCTTCATGCATCAAGACCTCAGGCATACTAGGTAAGTGCTCTACCACTGAGCAACATCCCAGCCTGCAGACTCCCTTTTGGCAAAGCTAAGCTTTGGAGAAATAATAGCATGTCTACTGAAGAAAATGAGCAAACAGCTTACATGTACATCCGGAATCTATGTCCTTCATTCCTGCACGTTTCCATGTGCATGGCAGTTAGGTTCTCTGCAACCAATGGTCTCTTTTGTTTGGGAATACAGTAGAATATCTGACAGCCAGCATTTCCTACCTTTTACTAGCCAGACATTGGGAAAATAAATGTTTCCAATGTAGCCTTTTTCTTCAGGAATGCATGACCATGTGAAGGGATGGATAAAAAAATAATTCAGGTGTAATTAATGTGGTCAGTATAAAACCAAAGGATACCTGAATTTCTGGAATTATGTACCAATTTTGACTGTGTCTAAGATTGTTTTTCAAAGTGAAGAAGCAGGATAGGTGATAGAATCTATTTTTGAAAGACACATTTTTAAAGAGACATATACTACACCCTGTCCCCCAAACCAGATGGTAAGTAACATAGTGTGAGGAAGATTTCTTTTACTCAGGTTTCAGTAACTTATTTCAGAATCATTCTAGATTAGCAATTTCTCTTGCCATCTGGGCTTTCCATCTCTTATTTTTCAGTTTATGGTTCACTAACATTGGCTCTTATCATTTACACTGATCATATGAAACCCTAATACTTTTTTTTTTTGTTTGGCTTTTTGAGATAAGGTCTCACTGTAATTCAGGCTGGTCTTGAACTCACTATATAGCCCAGGCTGGCCTTGAACTTGTGGTGATCCTCCTGGCCTGCCTCTCAAGTGCTGGGATTACAGACATGTGTCACCACACTCAGCAACCTTAATAAATCTTAAACCTGTGTAGCCAATGTTTTTGCTTAGGTTGCCCCCCACCCCACTGTTATAATAGAATCAATTTGCACTGAGAGTGCAAAGCCAGCCTTTGATCGTTTTTCTGTGAAACTGGGGACCATGCACAAGGGATGTGGGTGGCTACTGGAGTTTTTGCTGGCTGAGATATTGAAGCCAGAGCTTCAGAAGAGCACCTGAAACAGAAATACCCTTTGGATAAACAGGTTTAAATATGCGCTCCCATTCTTCTGATAAAATAGTGAGAATAATCCTTCTCAAAAGACTTCTACTGTCTCTCCCTGAGAGTGGTGTCTGATACGGATTAACCACTGTCAATTCCAGTCTTTTCAGATACCTAAACGTTTTGAAGTAACTTTGGACATCTTAGGTTATGAGTAAAAGCTATTGGCTGCAAATATCAAATGGATAATAGTAAATGTATATGTTATTTTTAATCACAATAACTTATATAATTTTATTTTTCTGGAATGAATAATAAAGCGTTCTTTCCATTAAATTGAAATCTTCACAATTTGTAATGTAAATACATTATTCATATATTAATCATATATTGTTTTTACTTCATAAATTGTTTTTATTTTTGTAGGCTATTAGAAGGACTCGTATCAAATTCTTGTCAAAAAGCCTGACAAATGGGATATTCCTGATGACATAAAAATAATTATTGAGTATGAGGTACAGCATCTTCAGTTACAAATTAACTTTTTCAGGTCTTATTTATAGTTAACTCCTAATGTCAAATAAGAATACTGATAAAAGCTAATTGTTGCTACAAAAAGTGATTTTTACTTGGAAATGAATGAAATTGTAAGTTTTATTAGTAACATAGGAAAACATTTTTTTTTTTTGATACCGGGGATCAAACTAGGGTCCTTGCACTTGCGGGGCAGGCGGTGGAACCACTGAGCTAAATCCCCGGCCCAGATGACCTTATTTTAATAGCATTTCCCTTTTAAAAGCTTAGAATATAGCGGGTCTGTTTCAAATATCCTAATTAGAAACAAAAGTCAGAAAATAGCAATTGTAATTTTCTTTTGGGAAAGTTTTTTTTTTTCCAAGGGGGCTCATAAGAAATTCTGTCAGGATTAAGTTCAGAAAAGGTTTATTCTAGCAGACTTTTGAGGAAGGCCCCCTAAACAACTGCGAGACTCCAGGGTACACTATGTGTCAGAAATTAAACTACCATCAACTGACAACTAAACTCGATACCTTTGATCTTAAAGATAGCATAGATAAACCAGCCTAATCTCTGAAGGATTTCTTCCCTAAGTTAGTCTATACAAGGGTGGGACTGTACATGTTTCAGGATTTTTTAAAAAAGAATCATCTTTAAAAATTCTCACAAATTTTAAAAAGTGCTTGCTAATTAAAATATATATTTTTTTGTCTTTAGGTATTCCATACTAGGTTGAAAGCCTTGTCAAATATGATGGAAACAAATACATTATGAAGCAATGGCTAGGAAAAATCTATCCACATGATTAAATTTTGTAGAACATGAACAATTTTTTTCTTGATGCATAGCCTGAATTCTACATTTCTGTGCAACTGGTAAATAAAAGCTAAGACATAATTTAATTATCTTTTCAAAATAAAATTCAACATATCTTCTGCTGGCTTTCTGTTAACTTTATTTTCAGTGTGACTAAAAATTCACCTAAATGGTGGACTTGGAAAAGTCAATTTCTAGTTGGGTTGATACTAAACAATGCAGCTGATATAATGGCTGCCACTTACTGAGTGACTGCTATATGCTAGGCATTGCTCTCATGATCTTCTGTCAACTTTAATCCTTATAGTAACACTGCAAGGTAGGTAATTTTAGTGTCATTTCACTAATTAAAAAAAGGAATATTAAAGAGGTTAAAGTGCTTTGCCAAATTTACACAATGGTAAATTGGCTCAGTAAATACTTGAATATACACTTGGTGTCAGCCCTGACACTAGGGGGGGAAGGGACTAGAAAACGACTACGAAGGCAGACAAGATCTCCATTCTCAAGGAGCTTCCACTCCAATAGCGAGGTTGAGACTTGACTATAATGACGCTAGAATCAAACTTTCCTTCTCAGCTTGTATGCTTCCTTCCTCCCCTAAAGACACTCCGAGAGAGGAATAAAATAAGTTAGTTGAGAGGAATGAAAACACATTGTTGGAAAGAAAGGGTAGAATATGATTCTCAAGATTTACCAAAGGAAAACCCGTGTCCTAGATGTGTGGAAAAAGAAAACCACACTGAATGTTTCAAGCTCAGTTGTCATTAGTTACAAGGAAAACTCCCTGCATGTGTCGCCATACTGTGGATGGCCGTATTGTGTTGCCCCCGTGGACCCTGGGACAAGGGCAACTAATGACAATATGCTGATACTCATGCACTTTGTTGTGCTATGAATAACAGTGCTTTGTGTCTGTCCCAGAACTTGAGTTTTCTGCTAGCATCCATGAAAAAGTAACAGATTAACTTACTAGCTTGTAAGTAGGATAAAATAAAATTTCAGACCTGACAGGATGTACTTAAAATCACATATTTATACTGAGTTATATGGGTGGGAATTTAGCTTACTGTTTCTGCTGCCTGTCTCACAAGCGCAAAGTCCTGAGTTCGATCCCCGGTGCCCCCAAAAAAGAAAAATTAAACATACTAAGTTATAGAAAATTATTAGGTTAGGGCCGGGGATTTAGCCCAGTGGTTCCATCGCCTGCCTCGCAAGCGCAAGGACCTGAGTTTGATCCCCGGTACCAAAAAAAAATAAAAGAAAGAAAATTATTAGGTTTGATGGAAATTAAGAATTCTTTTTATTAGTATAAAAATGTTGATATTTTTTCTATAGTGGAAATATTACACATACACTTGTATGAAATGCCAGTATACAAAAGTGTGCACATAATATATTTATTTCCCAAGAGTATTTCTAAGAGTAAGATTTTGAAAATAGAAACAAAGTGAACATAAGAATTCTATTGGATTATATTCAAGATCCAACAGATTTTGCAGGGATGGTTTTATCTAGTATACAATATATATATATATGTATATATATATATTATTCAGGACAGAAGGAAACATTATGTAAAGTACAAAAGTAAATAAAAAAGCACAAATACAACTTATTTTGGTTGGAATTTCAGAGATACTTTTTTCTCTTTTCTTTCCCCTTTACCTCAAAAGTTATAAATACTTTTGAAGCAGCATGTATTGTTGTACTTTTGATTTTTTGCTGTACGGTTAGTGAATCTGAGAGTCTGGATGACTGGTGATCATCTATTTGGCCTTCCCATTCTTTTGTTTCTTCTTCTTTTATTAGTAAAGGTTTTCCTAGGGTTTGGCCAACAAGGTTACAGACTTCTTGAGCTTTGCGCCACGCATTCTCAACAGCCACAAGACAGGCTTGCCGTCTTAGGAATTAAATGCAGAGCTTGTTAATATGACATTCAGTGAACAGCGGTATTGAATACTTTTGTTTAAGGAATAATTTAGTTAAAGATGTACTTAACTTACCGAAGATTTTCAATAGAACCTGGAGTATGATAGAACTGGGGTGGGGTGATGACAACAGAGCTATCTAGTTTTTCAACAAGAAAGTTACAAATATTTTGCATTTTTCCAAATTCAGTAAATGTAATGCAGACCTGTAAATAAAATGACACTTGGTATTATTTTCATGTCTGATGTACTGTTTCAAAATTGTCTCTAAATGTGAGTAAAAAAGTAAAGCCAGGTTATAAGGTCCTTTTATAGTAACAGATAAGAAAAGCGTATTTGATACTTAGAACTAAATTATTTTGCTATTAAAGTTAGACATTTGCTTATAAATTTTGAAATTTAGAGAATATTGACTTGAATATTTTAAAATTAATTTTAAACCACCTTAAAATTTTATTCATTTTTAATTTTCATGAAATTGGCAAAGTTCCCCTTTGGCTTTATTGTTAGACTAGATTATAAAATAACTTTTTTATGACTTCTTAGTCTAATTAATCTTTGCCATCAGATTTATGATTAGCAGTGATTATGTCATAATTCACTGCTATCACTAAGCTATATTTCTTCCAGTAGTTACTCTAGATCTCTATGCAGAAGCTTGTCTGTTTTACTTTTATCTGCCTTTAAACATGTGGGAGCAATACTTCAATATTGTAGCTTTTAAAACTTTTTATGGAAGCTGTCTATACCTTTTCTTCTAAAGAATGCTTATGCAAGCTCAACAATGTAAAATAAAAAAGTACAGGTAGTAGTACTAGAAAGTACAGGTAAAAGTACTAGAGTAGCAGTAAAGAGGTGAGATCACCTTACACAATGGAAAACAGTGACTTTAATTGTAAATGTTATCCACTAAATACTTATCTTCCCCTTGGTTTCAAAACTAAGTATTGGTCATAGTAATAGGCACAAGAAGCAGATTCAACTCAACTTAAATTGCAAAATATTCAAACACTCCGAAGCATGCAATTTTCTCTTTCAGTGAACTAGTCTTTACTTTCCACTTATCTATCAGTCCTCTATCAAGGATTAGTTTCTTAATGTACAGCCCATTCTGTCTCTATTTTATTACCATAATTTCTCTGTTAATCTCTTACCTGTTTTTATATGTTATTTCAAGAATGTTCACAAAGTTATCAATGATCTCCTTATCCTATCTCACACGTGCTCGTTCACACAGCCACCATTTCATTCCCACCTGTCTCCTATTTCTCCTATTCCTGGCTCCTTTGGCTCCAAGACACTATTTTCAGAATATTCCTTTGACTAGGCTTCTCTCAATTTTCTGTTTCCACTTCATTCTTCTGTCCTTTATCCTTGAGCATGCAGTATTTGGAATCTTATGAACCTCTTTCATTATCAGTTTATTTCTTTAGCTTTTAAAACTCATAATGGAAAATTTCAAACATATACAGAATAGAGTCAATAGTATAAAGAACTCTCAGGCATCCATCATCTGGTTTCAACAATGATCACCTCATGACTTATTTTTACTTTATGTACAGTATACTACACGTATTCTACAAGTTTTGATGTAAAGTTCTGTTCTTGGTGACAGATGCTATACAGTCTTATAGCTACATTAGCAAATATTTAGACCTTCCCCAAATTCTCTCAAGCCCTTTGTTATCAGTTCCTTCCCTAATTCCCAAGTCCTGGCAACCACTTGTGTGCTGTCCATTGTTAATAGACTGACCCTTTTCAGAGCATTACATAAACAGAAGCAAGCAACATGCAGCCTATCGAGACTCACTTGCTTAACTTGGCATAATGCATGTGATTCATCCATGTCCTAGTATCATAGTTTGTTCATTTTACGGTAAATGGTATTCTGTTATATAAGAGAAGAAGTAGGATTCTGATATAATCATAATTTGTTTGAAAAACATTTTGAGTTGCTTTCAGTTTGGGACTATTAGAAATAAGGATGCTGCTTTTTCAAAGTAGTTCTAGATCCTCTGCATTTCCAAATGGATTTTTGAATCAATCTGTTAATTTCTATTTTTTTAAAGTTAGCATGGATTTTATTTAGAACCGTAATGAATCTATATATAAAAATCACTTTAAAGAGGACTGATATCTTAATAATTTTGAATCTCCCAAATCATAAACAAGAAAATCTTGTCTACTAAAGTCTTCTTTAATTTCTCTCAGTAATGTTTTATAGTTTTCAGCATGTAAAGTTTTATATCTAGATATTTAAAATTTTTGATGCTTATTAGTTCTACTTGCTTTTTTAAATAGGTTCTATTAGGTTTTCTACATAGTCATAGTGTCCCTGAATAAAGACAGTTTTACTTTTTTTTTCTCAGTCTAGATGCCTTTGTCTCTTTACTTGCCCAACTGTATTCGCTAGAATCTCAAATGCAATGCTAAATAAAAGTCATAAGAGTAGCTATTTTTGTCTTGTTCCTATCTTAGGCACAAAGTATTTCATCATTAAATATGATGCTAGCTGTTAAATTTTTCATAGATATCTCTTATCAGTTTGAGGAAGTTCTCTACTATTCCTAGTTTACCTAGAATTTTTATTAGGAATAAGTAGCAATTTGTTTGTTTGTTTGCTTGCAGTACCAGAGATGGAACCCAGAGCCTTTGTACTGCGCTATATCCCCAGCCTTTTTTCTTGCACTACGAGCACAATCTCTGCTGTTATCTGAGAAATTATTTCTGATTTCATCTTTTCCAGATCCCCTTTTGTTGCCAGTTCAGTGGGTCCAGGTGGTTGAGTATCAGAGTGTTCCAACTCATTTCCCTTTGGGGTTGCTGCAGGTGATCTGGAAGTCTGGTTTTGAGACTTATTTATGTGTCTTCTCATTTCGACCTGGGCGGGCGGGGGGCGGGGGGCAGGTGCTGTTGGTGCCCGCGCGGCTCACCTCCTCTGAGCTGGGAGAGGTGGGACAGCGGCTCAGAAGCCCCTTCCTCTGGGCTGGGAGCAGTGGGACAGACGGTGGCGGAAGCCCTTCCTCTGGGCCGCGACCCAGCCCTTTTTCTTAAGATAAGGTCTTACTAAGTTACCCAGGCTGAGCCCAAATTTGCAATGCTCCTACCTTAGTCTCCCAAAGTAGTGGAATTATAGATGTGTACTTGTAAAGTTTTCTTTTCTTTTCTTTTCTTTCCTTTCTGGTTTTGTTATCTTCTGGCCTCAAAAATTGATCTGGGAAATACTCCCTCATTTTCAGTTTTCTAGAAAAGTTTGTATAGAACTGGAATGATTTCTTTCTTAAATTTAAATATTTCTAATTTCCCTTTCAATTTCTTCTTTGACTCAATAGGTTTTTGAAAAGTATGTTATTTAAATGCCAAATATTGGCAGAATTTCTGAGGATTTTCTGTTGTTTTTATTTTAATTCCACTGTGGTCAGAGAACTTACTTTGTATGATTCAAATACTTTTAAGTTTACTGTATTTTATTTATACCCCAAAATATAGTCTGTCATAGAAAATGTTCCATGTACACTTAAAAGTGAAATGTAAGTTGCTATTTTTTTGAGTAAGTGTTCTACAGATCTCAGACAGGTCAAACTGGTTGACAGTATTATTCAAATCTTGCATTATTTTCAAAAAGAGGTCAGTTGTCTTGTCTTTGTTCCTTAGTACATAATATGCCCCACTCCCCCCATTTTAAGATTTAGCATTGGTTTTGAGCAATAAGAAATCCACTCTTATCTTTATTCTCTGGTACATGCTTTTTAAAAGTCTGGCTGTTTTAAGACTTATCACTGGTTTTGAGCAATATAACTACAATGTGCACTGGTTTTTTTTTTTTTTTTGAGACAGGGTCTCACTATATAGTTCAGGTTGGCCTTGAACACACTATGTAGCCCAGACTGGGATCCTCCTGCCTCAGGCTCCTGAGTTCTGGGATTATAGGTGTACATTACCATGCCTGGATTACTTTTTGTATTTCTTGGTTTAGGATTGGCTGAACCTTTTGAATCTGTGGTTTTATAAGTCTCACCAAGTTTGGAAAAATTTTGGTCCTTATTTCTCCAAATAGTTTCCTTGTCCCCTACTTTCCCCTCCATTGGTACTTCAGTTAAATGTATATTAGGTCACCTAAAACTGTTCTATAGCCCATTCATTCCTTTTCTTGCTTTTTCTTACTGTGCTTTATTTCTGATAGCTCTTATTGCTATGTTTTCAAGTTCTCTGAGCTTGTTTGTTAATGCCTAATTTGCTGTTAATCCTATTAAGTGTATTTTTTATTTCACACACTGTACTTTTCATTTCTGGAATTTAAAACTTTTTACATGCTCCCTGTCTCTATTTAACGTCTGAGCATATGAAATACAATTCTAATAACTTTTAATGATTTTGTCTGTGAATTTTAACATTTATGTCAGATCAGGAGTGGTTTGAATTTATTTTTCTGCTACTATGAGCTATACATATTTCTCTGCTATTTTGCAAGCTAGAAATACATATCAACTCTATTGGCAAAAATTTTATGGCATTAAATGTAAAATCTCAACAGTTCATTTTGAAAATGCATTAATAAAGAGTAAGATGGGAGAAATATGACCTTAAAGCAGCATATGAAAAGACACCTCCTTTGGTTGTAATTGCTGACTACAGGTATAATCTGAATAGAAGGACAGTGTGATAAAAATGCCAAAAAAGTTAATTCAGACTTATATTTGGTATTAGGAAGAATATTCCAGAGAACTGTTTGACAATCTTTCTCTAACATGGATTCGTCAAATTACAAATAGAATACTATTGTTTGTTTAGGAGGAAATTGGCTAAGGGAAGAGCTTGTCATTTAAGAAACAATCAAAGAAACTAAGGGTTATCACCGTTGGAGAAGAAAAATAGTAGCATCAATATGACAGTGAACTTCAAGTCTATATTTCAAGGAAGAAGTGTTAGTCTTTTCTTTTTGAAAAGGTATACTAATAATGGATGGATACTAGTGACTCAATGTTGCTATGATGTTAGAAAACTGTTTATGAGATGTCTGAAAAGGGAATGGGCCTTCTATATTTATGCCTATCTATGTATAAAACTTTGCATAATAAAAATGAAGAGTTGAAAAAAAGACTGGATGAGATAAAGTATAGAAGAAAAATACCTAACACATGGCAGGCATGCAAGAAAAAGAAGTGAAAAAGAGGAGGGAGAAAACTGCATGAGTGCTACACTACTTGCTCTACTTAATACTGAATGGCTATTATATTTCAGGCTTTTAAAATCCTGTAATACTGAGATTATGACAAGAAAGAACACAAGAAGTAGCAAATGTATCAACACAGGAATTGCAAAGCCATGGTTTTATCCAACTCCTCTTCTCACATAACTTACCTACCTTTAATGGAATCATTTAGAAACTTTCTAACCTCCAATATTTATCTTTAAGAGGAAACAGGAGGGTGGGTGGGAGATTAGATAAAGAATCTTTATCTAAAATTGGGTTTTGACAAACAATAAAAGTTGCCATATTTAGTCTGTGTATACAATTTGATCAGTTTGGACATATGCATAAACTCCTGATACTGTGATCAAAGCAATAAACCTGTTTATCACTTCCACAAGCTTCTTTGTGTGTTTTTTTTTTTTGTCGGTTTGTGGTAAGAACACTTATGAGATCTATCCTCTTAAATTTTTAAGTGCACAACACCATACTAACTTCAGGTACTGTGTTGTACAGCAGATACCTAGAGCTTATTCATGTGGTAACTTTACACTCATTGAACAAGAACCTCCCATTCTTCTCTTCCCTACCTCTTCCATATTCCTTGGCAACCACTGTCCTATTTTCTGCTTCTATAAGTTTATTTCAGATACATCATATAAGCAGCATAGTGCAGTATTTATCTTTCTCTGACTGACTTGATTTACTTAGCATAATGTCTTCCAGGCACATCTATATAGTAGTAGCATATGGCAGGATTTCTTTCTTTTTAAAGGTTCAATAATGTTCCCTTATATGTAAGTAACACATTTTCTTTATTCACTTCTCTGTTGAGGATATTTGGGTTGCTTCCATATCTTGGTTATTGTGAATAATCCTGCAATGAACAGTGGTCCCTTCATCTGTGCTTTTGGTCTCTGTGGCTTCAGTTGCCTGTAGTCAGCTGTGGCCCAAAAATATAAAATGGAAAACTTAAGCAATACACAGTTCCTAAATTTTCAACTGCATGCCATATGGAGTAGTATGATGAAATCTTAAACCATTCCACTCCATCTTACCCAGGACATGAAGCATTTCTTTATCCACAGTATCCATGCTGTATACATCACCCAACTGCCAGTCATCTGGTGGCTGCCTTGGTTATCGAGTTGGCTGGCATGGCACAGCAGTGCTTATGTTCAATTAACCCTTGTTTTACTTAATAATGACCTCAAAGGGAAAAAGTAGTGATGCAAAAGGGCATAAACCAAGGGATGATAGATTAATTCTGGTATTATGTAGCAATGCTACAGAGCATGTGGGAAAAATATAGTATAGACAGGGTTTGGTTCTGTGTGTGCAGTTTCAGGCATGCATTGGAAATCTTGGATTTTAACCTCTGCAGACAAAGAGGAGTCACAGACATCTATTCCAGATCTTGATATCAATTCTTTTGAATATATACCCCAAAGTGGAATTTGTGGATCATATGGTAGTTATACATTTATTTTATTAAGGAAACTCCATATTGTTTTCTGCAGTGGTTATACCATTTTACATTCCCACCAATAGTGTACAAGGGTGCAAACTTCTCCATATCCTCACCACCATTTTATCTTTACTTTTTCTGTAGTAGCCATTCTAACAGGTATGAGATCATGGTTTATGTGGTTTTGTACTTTTCTGATAATTAGTGATGGTGAACACCTTTTTATATACCTGTTGATCATCTGTATATTTGTATGTCTTGTTTTGATACATGTTTATTCAAGCCTTTTGTCTTTTTTTTTTTTTTTTGGTGGAACTGGGGATTGAATCCAAGGTCTTTGCCCTGAGTTACAGCCCCAGTCCTTTTCAAAAATTTTTTATTTTGACAGTGTCTCATAAGTTGTTAAGTTGCCCATGGTGGGTTGGAACTTGTGATCCTCCTTCCTCAGTCTCCCAGAGTGCTGGGATTATAGGCATATACCACTATGGTCCATTTTAGAATCAAGGTTTGTGCTTCTTAATTATAGAAATGTACCTACCATCTAATCTTAGTCCATATATTTAACAGTCCATGAGAATAGTAGTACATGCTAGATATTAGGGTTTAGTGTGTGTTACATCCATAGTATAAAGCTATACATTGTTCTTTATGCATCGGTTGTCATACTTTGTATCTTGCAATTCCACTACCCTGGTCTCCACTGATCTAAAGCTAATCATGTATTGGAATGTGTAATATAATGTGCGTTCTGGCTGCCATGGAACCCTATACAAAAAATATAATCAGATTTTTCTCAAGAAATTTTAACAGAAAACTTTAAAAAGGCAACTAACGCAGAAGGAAGAGGAGGAGATTTTAGTTAAATTCTCAATCATGTCTTAGAACAAACAACTCTAATACACTCTTTCTGTACTTGGAAGTTCAGTCTCTTAATAATTCAGTGGTCTGAACATTCCAGTTTTGTTTGAAGTCTGGCTGTATAATTCTGGGACTATTTCTTTTTCTTCCTTACTCCCAGGTGTATCTTCACAATACACCTCATTAACAAAGATAACCTGCTCCTATCTATTTTCATAATATTCTGAAGCCCTAACAGGTAATAACTACTGGGAAGTGCTACTGCACACTCCCAACTTTTGGCCTCTGTCATTTAGAATCTTATCTGATTGTTCTTCATCTGATTGAAAGGTATTTTTCAGTCCCCACTAGTACAAAATAACTTTTTCCAAATAGATTTCCAAAATCATAGCAAGTAACTGTAAATTTCCTTGAGAGAGTTAAATTTTAAAGGAGAAATCATAAAATTGTTATAGTAAGAATTAGTGCAACAAACAATATTGTTGAAATTATGAGAGATAAGATGCCAGGCTAATTACACTCTAATTCTATGTCTATGTGATCTAAAACTAATACCAAAATTAGGAAAAGTAAGATATTATCTGTCTGACTATAGGACCAGGAAATTTCTTGAGGTATTTTCTACCTCTAGAGACAAAGATTCGACCACTGGACAAATAAAATTCCATTTTAATCCCAGTCTTCTTTTGTTTCCTGAGACAAGGAGGTAGTATGAATTAAGCACATACCCTAAAATGTTTGGGCTCAGAAATAGATAGCAATCTTATAACTAAACCAGAACTATAACATAATCTGATTTCATAAAGTCCTGATCACCAAATCTTTAAAGGTAGGTAAAAAAAACAGGCAGTTGTAGAATCTAAAAGTTATAATTGAGAATACTCAAAAATAGTATCCTTTTTAATTTGTGTAAAGGTTAAAGATTTTTTATTTTTAAATAATACTTATCGCAACACAGTAAAAATGCACTATGGAAGAAAAGAGTGTTAAAAAATATTTCAATCCTTTATATTATGACTTTATTTATTTTCTTTTTATCAAAGAGAAATACCTGTCCTGTAGTATTTTCTGTTCTGGGTGAAGAAGCACAGGTAATGGGAAAAAAACAAGAACCAAGATACAACATGTACAGGTACAAGCACCCAATGATAAATGTAAATGTATTGTATACCTAAAATTTACCAATAAAAGAATTTAAGCAAAAAAAAATTTATTCAAGTGGTACTTAAATGCTATTTTCACCATTGTTATTTTTAATTCATTTAAAAAAATTTCTCTTAAACAAATCTCATTAAAATTATTTTAAAAGATCATTGGAAATATAACATCAAAAATGATTTAAAAATAATGTTTTATCAATACTATAAGAACTTCTCTAATACATTACAGTTCAAGTATAAAAAACTAAATGACAATCTGTACCCACAAAGTTATGCTGTTATCAATTATTTGATAAGTACATACCTCTGCTTCCATGTGATAACCATTTTCTACTCTTCTAAAATCCTTTGTTATAATTATATTTTCTGCCTGAAAAAGAAAGAACAAGATTATGATTATTAAGTGTTTGGCTACTAAATGCTCACTTCTAGGTATGGCACACAGATGAGGAATTGTTTGCATACAAAGCATATTTATTATTAGAGGGGTATTTAAACAATTTCTAAATAATTTGGGGCAAATAATTTAATTTTTTTGAGTTATAAAATCAAGTTGATATCTTGTATACTATTATGAAATTATTAAGGATTTAGTGAGAAGCTATAAAGTACTTGACACAGAGAAAGTACTTAGCAAAAGAGCTGCTATGCTATTACGAGATAAATGAAACACTATACTTTGGTCAGTTTGTTTCTAGAAAAATAGTACTAATGCTTTTTGGCTTTCTGGGTAAATACAGGAGACATAATTCTGATGAAAAGTTAAATTTCCTAATTACTTTTTAAATTCAGTGAAATGAACTCTACCCACTCTCAAACATGGGGACACTCAAAACTTTTATATATATTTTTGTATCTTTCAAAATAAATGCTAAGAAACCACAATGATTATTATGCCAATTAATAATTTAGCAAGCTATTTTGTAAGGAAAATGGCTGCACCTAAGGTTTAAGCTATAATCTAATTACAGGCATTTTATGTTACCCAGAAAAATTCTAAAATGTTTTGAGTATGTGAACTCGTGTTCCAATTATAGCTCTGCTGTCACTTCTATGAAAATTTTAATGCATTTTTTTTTACTATAAAGGTTATACCTGTTCATTGTAGAAAACTTACAGTACAGTAAGTATAAGAAGCTATATATAGCCCTGCAAATGCAAGGACCTGAGTTCAATCCCTGGTACAAAAAAAAAAAAGAAGCTATATATAGTATATAGCTCATGATCAGCTTTTTTAACTTAACATGTAACTTTTCTGTCATTTAATATTCTTTAATGACATGTAAATACACCTTTGTTTCAGTTTTGGATATCTTTTTGTATATTTTATTAAGAGATTTCGGCCAAGCACTGATCTGACTTCTGTCTTTTTTTTTTTTTTTTGGTACCAGGGATCAAACTCGGGACCTTGTGCTTGCGAGGCAGGTGCTGGAACCACTGAGCTAAATCCCCAGCCCTCTGACTTCTGTCTTTATATTTTTGCCTTTACCAGCATGACACAGGAATAGAATACATAGCTTTTTGGTCTGTTTTTTAAAAATTTTTTTTAGCAAAGTGCATCTAAGATTCATTACTCTTATTCTGTGAATCAAATTTTATACCTTTATTGCTGAATGTCTTTTCCATGCATGTACCACATATTTATCCATCTCCCGTTGAGACATGTCTTAGTTGCTTCCAGTTTTAGCAATTATGAATAAAGATGCTATAAATAGCCTGTGTTCAGATTTTTTTTTTTTGGTACCGGGGTTGTGTTCAGATTTTTATATGAATGTTCTGTGTGGTTCACAGCATATGCCTTGAGTCTAAAAACTCATCTTCAAACCCAAGTTCACACAGATTTTCTCATTTACTTTTTTCTAGAAGTTTTAGGTTTTACTGTCAGGAAAGATGGTCTTGTGCAGTCTTTCGACACCTATTCACTGCCCAAGAATAGGCCATGGCCCTAGAACACTTCCTTACCAAGAAATAAAGTGTCCCAACAGCTTTCACTGGTTTTGCTGCTTTGCATGGGATTATCTTTACCTACGAATTTCAGACACAGTGTGCACTCCTTTATTCTGCTTAAGGGTGTGTATCTCATGCCACCTGGCCAATCCCCACCATTACAGCTGTTTCTGTGGGGGAAGGAATAGAGTCCTTTTGAAGCAGCAGGAGAGATGCATGTAGGCCAATTGTCCTGCATCAGCCACCAAGAAATCAGCAGACTGAGGTAGATTGGCACCTACTAATGCAGGTGATTCTGCTGTTTCTTCTCTGTGTTACTAAAGGGTTGTTCTCTCCAGGCCTTGACTGAGTTGTGTTTTCTTGTGACTGATACCACAACGCAATGGGTAAAGTACTCAGTCTTTTATTCTGATGATAAGTAACAGATGCCACTTGCTCAATACTTATGTTTAGGTCTATATTCCATTTGGAACAAAATTTTGTTGAAGGTATGTGTCATTCATTTCTTGCATATGGACATTCCACTGTTACAAAGACTGCTTAGATAAAACATTTTTCAGTAAAAAAATGCTAAAAATGAGGGTTATATCTTCACACAAGCTTATAAATCTATGATCTATAATACAGTTGAAGTATAGCTTATTTTCGTGTGTTGTTCTTTCTTATTAAAAAAATTTAGGGGGTTATACATTATGCTATGAGAATGAACATTATTCATGACAATGCAAAAAAACCCCACGACAAATGGCCTCTGCTCTGGAGAGGTTTAGAATATGTGGTAGAAACTAATAAATTAAGAATTACAATATGAGGTGAAAAGTTGTATTACAAGTGAGGAGTGGAGTGTTGTATGGCAGGGATTAATGTTATGTTAGGAAAGAAAGCCAAGGAAGTGAGCTTGGCCTGGTTCCTAAAGTCAGACTAATAGGAGGGAAAAACAAGTTCAGGTTATAAGGAGCCCTTTTAAACTAGGGAATGATGTTTACAAATGTTACTAACAATATTCTGAAGTTTAAAATGAATAGGGACTTTGCGAAAACCCATAATTCATCCTGAAAAATAATATAAATGATATTATATTATCAATTGAACAAATTACCTACATGATTGCTTTTCTCTTTTAACAGGGATAACTGGAAGATTACAGTTCTTCCTTTGTCTTACTTTGAACACCAAATCTTTAATGTAATTACTAATGCAATTACATTAAATATTAATTAATATTATTAAATTATTGATGTGATTTAGTGGAATAATTTATTTTGTTTTATATAGAGGTTAGAGATACATAAGCTCAGTTTACATTTTATATAAATAACTTAAGAACTAGTTACATTTTTCATATAGGACTGCAATAGGAGTAAATAGATTTTTACTAAACGCTTTTCTACATATTAAACCCATTTTGTTCATACCATTTGAATCCTTTTAAAATGTAAATTCACTTGGGAAAAAATTTTCCAAATGACTTTATTGACTGTTTATGTTTGTAAATGTAATACATATTTTCTCCCTAAGATAAAAACTTGCTTTAGGGGTTATGGCATTTCTAGGAATAGACTGGAAGCAAAAGCTTTGCACCTTTACCAACTTAATGTTACCCTGGATAAATCACAACTTTGGTCTTTAGGATCATACTTTGTAAAATGATTAAATGGATACGGATGCTGCACTATAGCTTACTTTTCTAATTTTCTTTCATTCCAATTACCTACAGCCTGGCATAGATTCTGGATACGGGAAACACATGAATTCAAATACTGCCCTACTAAAAGTTTAGAGCATTAGTTAACCTCCTTCAGTGTGGAAAATGGGTATATTAAAATACGTCTAGCTGGACCGTTGTGCGGGTTAAATAACGCTGGTGTCCCCCACCTCCCCTTTTTAGAAGTAGTTTAAAGGGAGATTTATTTAGTGATTTGTCTGTTAGAGGTATTTCATATAAGTGCCAGCTACAATAAGTACACTAGCTTGTTTTTAAAAAGTTTAAACAAGTTCAAGATTTTTGGGAGGAGTATTTTTAAACCGAAAATGGATCCCATCTCTCCCCCTCCAATTACTGTTAGCAATCACTCCAAGCAAAGCTTGACTTAGCCAGGAGGAGGCGGGTCACTGTCTTCACTTGACAATTTTACGGTGCAAGTTTAACATTCATCATTTAAAAAACCAAACCACAAGGGCCGGGGATTTAGCTTAGCGGTGCCGCTGCCTGCCCCGAAAGCGCAAGGACCCCAGTTCGATCCCCGGTACCAAACAAAAAAACCACAGCCAGTTAAAAACCCACGCGATACACATTCTTTTCTTAAATCCCTGACTGACAGCCAATAGCCGCTCTGCCGAAGAGAGGGAAGCAACGTCCAGCGCCCGCACCAGCGGCCCACTTTGCGAACCCCGTCGCCCGCTCACCTGCACACCCTGCTGCCGCAGGCTCTGCGCGACGTAGTCCAGGCGCCGGCTCACGCTCTTCTTGGCCTCGGCCGCCGCCTCCTTTGTGCTGCTCACTCGCACTACCGCTTGCGCCCGGTCGGGGCGCGCGGACACCATCGCGGTACCGCTTACGTGCACCTCGCGGGGCGCAATTTGGGCCTGTGCGGAGGAGAGGGGCCGGCAGGTACCGGGCAGAGTCTCTCCACTGGAGACGACATCCTTCTCCCGGGCACGATCAGCCCAGGGAACCAGTTCCACGAATACCCGCGACGGAGGGGCCCGCGGCGGCGACATCACTCTGGTAGCTGGGTTTCCATAGCAACTCCGGCTACGGCGGCCGGAGGGTCCCGTGGACGCCCAGGCTTCCTGTGCGCGGCGCAGAGGATGTCGGGATGGGGCTAGAGGCCGAGCACTAAGTAAAAGTGCCAGCTACGCCTTGTGGAGGCTCCCGCTGAGTGTGTTGGCATAAGTTTTAATACCTTTACTTCATGGCCCTCATAGGTCTCTTCGGCGTCGTTGTCGGTACGTTCCATCCTTCCACGCACGTCCTGGGCGTGTGACCCTCGCCTGTCTCACGGGGAGGAATGGCTGACGGAGAGGCGAAGCTTGACAGGCTCGCGCTTGTTTGTATGTGGGTCTGATGGCTCGCAGCCTTGCCTTCTCTTACCTCAGCGCGGGTCCCTGCTACCTTATGGTTTAGTTCAGCTACTTTTTTGACTTTTAAATTTTTATTTATTTTTTTGATTCACAAGAGGGTTCTATGGAGATGAACTACGTTTTGCCGATGTAATCCTGGGCAGTTTGTGAGTCCCCAAATCTGTTTCTGCAAAGCGATGTTGGTAATAGTTTTAACATTCGCCATGGGACCATGAGGTGCCGGTTGTATGTAGAGTGTTTGGCTAATGGAAAAAAGAAAAAGAATGGAAGTCTAGTTTTGATAATTCTCTGCTAAAACTTAGGAATGATTTTCAAATCTTTCTAATTTTCTGTAAAACCCTTGGGATGCTTGCGGTCTTCAACCTAGGCAGGAGAGACCCCAGCGGAATGAAAGCGCATTCACCGTGGACCTTGCCCCTCACAGACACCTTAGTTTTTGTTTACTGTATACCCTTTTCTTGAGAGAGCCTGTGCCACACAACTCCCAGCTTCTTCTCATCCATGGCCATCCCTCTAGTGGATCTTTTCATACCATAGGCAGTGATCTTGTGAAAGTAGATCTCTTGTCTCCGTTTTCCTGACTACAGAGATTTTATTAGAGAATTAGTGGTGGTAGTGGGAGGAGAATCTTGAATAACATAGAAAGATAACCATTATCCTGAAAGTAACTGGAGAAAGCCAACTAATAATTTTTGTAATTTCTATTATTTTCTCTATCATTTTCCTTTTTTTATTGGTCTGATAACTGAACAGTTGAACTAAATCAGATGGTACCCCCTTTTCAGATGACCTACCACGAAGTGAACATAATTTTGTATATACAATATTTATTTTGATGTTTATTGTTGGACGAAGGTATATACTAACTTTAAAAGTTTTCTTCCGTTTAAAAAAAAATTTCTAAGATGTTTCTTAAGCTTTGTTCTTTTTTCTGCAATGATAATTGTGGGAGAATATATCCAAAATGAACTACTGAATGGATGAGGTCTTTTTTCTTCATTTTTGTTTTTGTTTTTCTGTATTGGGGATTTAATCTGTGGCCTTCCCACTGAGCTATATCCCAATAATTTTTTTTTTAATTTAAGAGAGGGTCTCACTAAGTTGATAAGTTGCTGGGGCTGTGATCCTCCTGCCTCAGCCTCCTAGAGTGCTGGGATTACAGGTGTGTGCCAATGAGTTTTATATTATAAGCAAAAGGCAATGGAAGTTGTAAGTGTATTGTTGATGTAAAGTAAAGTATTTTAAAGGACATAAAAAAATAGCTTATTATGAGCCAAATATGAGTGACTATGGCTTAGGAACATGGATTCAGGTTGTCTTCAATGATACCTTTCACCCTGGAAGCAGTTACATGAACTTTTTTTAAAAATTAATTTTATTGGAACATTTTAGGTATAAAATATAATGACATTCATCTTTGGAGATTTGAATCTTTACAAAATATATCTTGATTCTTATTTTTTCCCCCTTTCCTTGCCCTCCCTTCAACCAATCCACTCTTCCCTATTTACAAAGACTTTGTTTCCATTTTTTCATTTTCTCATAATTCCATTCCATCATGGAATTAATACATGAACTTTTATAGTCATAGAACAAAAGAAATTGGGAGCTTTGGTTAAGTGGGCTACAGAAAAGTGAGGAAATCTCTTTAATAGGTTCTAAATCTTATAGCATTCTTAGCTTTAGGACTGGTTAAGAGTAGAGTTCTACTAAGCTTAAGGATAGATTTTGAGAAGTTTTAAAGTCCTTAGAATGGTTGATCAGTTGCCAAAAATAAGGTAATTGGCTATTAAAGATCCTAAGAGGGCTGGGGATGTAGTTCAGTGGTAGAGTAGTTGCCTAGCATATGTGAGGCCCTGAGTTCAATTCTCAGTACCAATGGGGGAACAAAATCTTTCAGGGCATGGTGGTGCATGCCTGGAATCCCAGCACTCGGGTGGCTGAAGGAGGAGGATCACTGAGAGTTTGAGGCCAGCCTGGGTTACATAGTGAGTCCAAGGCCAGCCTGAACTACACAGTGAGACTCTGTCTCAAAACACAAAAAAAACAAACAACAAACAAAGACAAGGTCCTAAGATGGTCCAAGATAATTTTGGCTCTCAGAGTACAGCATCCTCTCTCGATGGTCATCATATTCTAGCCATCCAGGGTCAATCAGTCTGGAGGATTTTTAACATAGATGCAGTTTCTCAGAGGATTTCATTTCACAATATTTAGGATGTGATAAAAGATTTGAAATCAGTGTAAAATGATAAATGGTATGGAGATAAACTTTTAGCTATATTAAAAAATGATCTGTATCTTACATCATACATTAAAAATAACTCATTTGCAATCAAAATGAAAAATATTGGAAAAATATATACCTAAATATAAATATAATTCTGAGAATGGGAAGGCCTTTCTTAAGCATAATTTCAAACTCAGTAACCATGAAAGAACAGTCTGAAAAATTTGATCACACACACAGAATTTAAAGCAAAAGAAAATCTGAATGGATTAAGGGAGGGGAAATAAATTGGAAAAAATTTTGTAACATTTATTATTATATTACTATTGTATTTATTTTGCATAGAGGGCCTATGATGTAGAGCAAAGGTCCCCAAACCCCAGGACAGGAACTTGTACTGATCTGTGGCCTATGATATTAGGAACTGGGCTGCAGAGCAGGAGGTGAGTGATCAAAGTTGTATTGGTATTTACAGGTGCTCCCCATGGTTCACATTACTGCCTAAGCTCTTCTTGTGGTCTTAGATTCTCATAGGAATGTGAACTCTACTGTGAACTGTGTATCCCAGAGATCAAAATTGCACACTCCTTATGCGAATCTGATGCTTGATGATCTGAGGTGGAGCTGAAAAAGTTATGCTAGCACTGGATTGTGCCTGAAAATACAGAATAACCTTAGTCTGACTGAACAGATAATCATAATAAATTAATTGCTTGAAGATGTATCGAAGTCCGATCAGTGAATGGCAAGTGACAAGCTGAATATGGTAGCAGGATTTATAGTGGTAAATGAGTTGATGTACTTCAGTTACAGAGCTGCATCTGGTGGTAGGCTTTAAGTCAGAATATAACACCTGTTTTAGTCTGCACATTGCCTGACATTAGTCTGAACAGATAATCATAATAAATTAATTGTTTGAAGATGTGTCAAAATCCTATCAGTGAGTGGCAAGTGACAAGCGGAATATGGTAGCAGGATTTATAGTGGTAAATGAGTTGATGTGCTTCAGTTACAGAGCTGCATCTGGTGGTAGGCTTTAAGTCAGAATATAACACCTGTTTTAGTCTGCACATTGCCTGCTCATTATTTTATTTACCATTTCTGTCTGAGTTTCTTTTCTGAACTATGTACTTAGTGACAGTTTTGGAAATCTCACAAGCTAAATGTAGTTAAAATGAGTGAAGAAAAAAATGTCACTAGGAGTTTCTTTGAATAGGGGGAAAGGCCAACTGATGAGGTAGGAAGAGAGTCTAAGACTATCAACAAAAAGCTGCTCTTAAAAGAAAATACTATGAGTCTTCCTTAAATTATGAATTCATGGCAACAGGTGATTCACATTCTCTAATCCTACTTTTTAAAATGTGTGTTGACCAGCCATCCAACAAAGCCATGAAAACTGTAATACTTCCACATGGAGACCAAGCACTCTACATTGAAAGACAAGCCTGTGGAGTTTCTCCAAAAGAATAAAAAAACCCCATAAACATGAAGAACAGAAGCAAATATTGAAGGCCAGCATTTCATGTGTGCACTGAGACCATGTTTTTTGGTCACTAATTGTATACTGGAACCAAGAAGCTCTTTACCATTGGTGAAGAGTTAATCCTGCCTTCAGCTAAAGACATTTGTCTTGTGCTTTTAGGTGAGGCTGCAGTTCAAAAGATGGCTCCTCTTTTGGCTAGTCCCATAACTAGATGAATTAATGAAAAAGCAGAGGATACTGAGGCACAATTGTTCGAGGGGATTAATGAGTCACTGTGGTACACAGTCCATGCTGATGAATCTGCCATGTTGACAACAGGCAACAATGCTTGATTTTGTTTGACATTTTTCAGGAGGACGTGCATGAGGATATGTTATGTGCACTTTTATTACCAACAAACAACTGCAGAAATTTTCAAGTCTTTGAATGATTACATTTCAGTAAAACTAAATTGGTCACTTTGTGTCAGTATATGCATGGACGAAGGAGCTGCCATGACAGGACAGCTTTCTCTTTCACTACTTGGGTCAAAGAGGTTGCTTCTGAACATGAGTCTACACACTGTGTCATCCATACAGAAATGCTGCCTAGCTGAAAAGTGTCACCTGAACTTAACAATGTTTTGCAGGATGTAATTAATCTTATCAACCGTATTAAAGTACATGTCCTTGTGAAGCTCTATGAGAAGATAGATGCAGAGCATAAACATCTGTAATACACAAAAGTGAGTTGGCTTTCTAAAGGTGGATCATTGGCCAGAGTTTTTGAGTTATGAAAGCCACTCCAGAGGTTTCTTTTAGAAGAAAAGTCACTGCTGGCAGCACATTTCTGTGACATGGAATGGGTTGCAAAACTTTCTTATATGTGTGACATAGCCTGCCCAGTGAATGATCTGTCACTTAAGGGCAGAGTGACAACTGTGTTCAAGTTGGCAAATAAAGTGGCTACATTTAAAGCCAAGTGAATTATGGAGATGATGAGTGAAATTGGGATTTTTGACATATTTCAAACATTAGTAGAGATTAGCAGAGATTTTGAAAAAGACACATCTAAGGCCCTCTTGCTCCCAGCTGGTGCATGGTCATTTATCTTGACTTTCAAAATAGTTTAAATATTACTTCCCAATCACAAAAAGACCTCTGAATGGGAAGGAATGGGTCTATGACTCTTTTTTGAATAAACCAGGTGAGCCAGCTTTGTGGTATAAGAGGATCAACTATTGAGATCACAAATAATAGTATCTCAAAAGTAAAAGTATGTTTGAGACAACTTCAAGTCCATACATTCTGTATTAAAGTCAAAGTGGAATATTCTGAGGTTGCCACAAAGCACCGAAAAGCCTGATTCCTGCTTTGTGAGGCAAGGTTTTCTGCAGTGATAACTACCAAAGTGTGGTTCTAGAATAGACTGGACATAAGCAATACACTTTGGGCATCATTGTCTTCATGACCCCAAAATGGGATGACTAATTGCAGGAAAACAAGCTCAGGAGCCCCACTGATTCTGCATTATGGTGAATTATATAATTCATTATACATTACAATGTAATAATAGAAATAAACAATAAATGGGCTTGAATCATCTCAAAACCATCCCTCCACCCCTGTCCGTGGAAAAATTGTCTGCCATGAAACTGGTCCCTGGTGTTAAAAAGGTTGGGGGTTCCTGATTTAGGGCATTATTACTGCAAGAATCAATAAAATGTATAAAAATAAGGAACACAAATGTAAACTGTTAGCATGGGTTGCCATGACAAAATATCACAGATTTTGAAGCTTAACACAAATTGGCCCCTTAGAGGGCAACAAGGGTCATTCTCTAAATTGGCTCTGGAGACAAACAGGTACCCAGACGTGAGGCAGGTACTCTTGATCTGGAAGAGTAAATTAAAAGAGAAACTTGCTGGGCCAAAATTCAGTATCTGGGATACGTGTGAGGGAAACTAGATCACTCCCCCTCCCCCCCAGTGCACACACCATCTTGGGAGAGGATTGGACTGAGGAAGGGCTCTTGAGTGGCAGACTAGATGATGAAATAGACTCACAATCACTCTGACTTCCCTACCAGGCACAGCCAAGTGAGGTACTTGCAAGCCAGGGAAACCTAAAGCAGGAGGACAGTGAAGGAGACAATGCCACACACTCACGTTTTGAGAAAACTAGCATTCCAGTGCCTGCAAGGGATGGGACTGGTGAGAGAGAAAGCTTGTCCAACAGAAAAAAGTTTTGAGTCACCCATTCTCCCTACATGAAATTAGAGTGCTCTACTTGTGGGCCATTCAATGTGTACTCAATGCTTGCTGGCAGGCTCCCCCTGGAGGCCCCAGCACCTCCTAGCTAGGGACCACAGAAGGAAGTGAGGTCTGGGACTGTGCCAAGTACATGGATTAGAAAGTGGAGCTTCTGGGAGGAGCAGGTGAATTCAATTAGAGGAGGAATGGAGACTGGCACCTGGATCAGAGGGCTTCTAGTGCTGCACTGGGCAAAAGGCTTGTGGAGGCCTGGGGGACCCCACCCCCGCCCCCAAGTGAGAGCTACCGAACACTGAGCTGTGAGCAGAGAAGGACCCTTTGTAGGAGAGCCACAGCCTATATCCCTGGAGACATGGGAGAGAAGGGTGATGTGACAGAACCAGAACAGAGTGAGTGCTCTTAGATTGTTTCCCCAAACATCAGAAGGCCTAGGATGGCATTAGGTCCTCCTACCACCCACTGACCCATGCTGGCAAAGGAGGCCTTCTGCCTAGCCTTGAGTCTGTGTCAAATTCCAAGTTTGGTCTGGGAGCAGAGCTTTTGAGACGGAGGACAACGGGTAGAGAGAGGGAGAAGGGGGCTTAGGTGGGAGATGTTCTGGTGATATACTAGGCAAGGAAAGTCTGTGGAGGGAGGACATAGAGATAACTGTGATATTTGTTAAGCAGTGAAGGGAATGTGAGTGTGAGGTCATTGGTGGAAGTCAGTGGAGAACCAGAACACTGGGTGTTGGACAAATGACACCACATCTGCTTCCTCACAAATCAATTGAGGTAATCAGGCCATGACATCATGATGGAAGCTTACAATTGGCTATGGTGAGAGCACAGTTTGCAGCCAGGCAGCAGGTCTGGAGGGATCAGCAGCCCTCACCTCTTTCGACAGGCAATTGAGCAGTCCACAGGGAGAAATTGTTTGGTTGCTTACAATCAGACTGAATCCAGTGTAGAGGGAGCTGTATGAACACTGGGAGGGACATAATGTAAATTTTGTCAAATGCACAAAAACTTGAGTGTATAATACCCACGTTTATTATTGAGAATATTTCTATTGATGAATTATTAATTTCATGAGATTTATATTAAACAATTGGTACTTAACAGGAGAATATAAAGAGTAATATATTGAACTTTTAATATTTATTGAGTGTTCATAAAAAAAATTTCAACATAAACTTTTTTGGTGTACAAAGTCTAAAAAGCTAACAGAAATAAATTCCTTATATAAACTCCAATGAAAATACCAATTCTGTGTATATACACATGATATAAATATATATATATATATATATATATATATATATATATGTAGCAGAGGCCTGTATATGTACACAAGAGAATAAGATTTAACCAGTGTCTTAGTTACTTTTTCTCTTTGTTGAGACAAAATACCCAACACTTGAAGTTAAAGGAGGAAAGATTTATTTTGGCTCACAGTTTGTGTAGGTTTCAGTTCATAGTTGGCTGACTCCAAGGCAGGGTGGCGCATGGCAGAGGGGTATCACAGAGCAGGCCAGCAGAAGGCAACAAGCAACAAGCACGAAATAAGTAATAACCAGAGATCTTTCTGTCCCTTCCATCTTTTCCAGGCTACTCATCCTTAGGGCAGATAGCACTCACACCCAGGGTGGGGCACCCTTAATCCTACTCAGAGCTATGTCAATGGGAAGAGTGGCAGGTAAGAGAAATACTGACAGATGTATTAAATTATCAAAACATTTTAATGTTTACAATTGATACATGGTTGAATCTGTTGATGCTGTTACTACCAGTAGAAATTCTCTCCTCACAAGGCAGTGACAGGGTCCAACCCAATTAAATTGAATATGTTGAACTGGTAGACAATACATCTTGGAAACTAAAGCCATGATGACATCACTAGAAAACAGAAGCTAATTAAAGAGATCTTCATGCCAACAAATTCTTTTCAGTCTCTTTGACCTGAACCCTAACCACAAAAACAAACCAAACCCAGAAAGGAACATGAAAAAACAAGGCAATAAAATACTTTCAAAGATATCTAACTCTTCTAAAGCAAACCCAAGAGGCACTGATGAAGAGAAAATCAAACACCAAATAGCTGAACTATATGAAATTATTAAAGAGGAAGCAAAGAATCTTGGTAAGTTCAAAGACTATGTAATTCAAAAGACAGTGGAACAAAGAAATTGACCAATATGATTATAGAAAAAACAAAAAAATTTGAACAGTAGACTAAAAAAATTCAAAATATGAATTACAAATTTACCAAAGAAATAGACTCCACAAAAAGGTCCCAGAGGAAAAAAATTATATTGACTACATGAACAGCAGATTTCACTGATGTGAGGAAAGTCTCAGACCTTGAGGACAGAACAGAAACACAACATCGTATACTTGGAGATACCTTCCAAATGACAAAAGAGCAAGAAAAATTCATTCAAAAGCTGCTAGAGGACACAGAGAGTAACCTAAGGATAATTAGAGAGAAATGAGAGGACAGCACACATGGAATAAAGAATCTGTTTACAGAAATCATAGCAGAGAACTTTCAGAGTACAAAGAAAGAACTCAACATACAAGTAAGCAAAGCTTACATATCACAAATAATTATGACTAAAATGAAGCTCTTCATGACACATCATAGTCAAAATTGCAGAAGTCAAACACAAGGACAGACTCTTAAAATTTATCAGAGAAAAGCAAAAGAAATCACTACTAAATAAATCCACTAGGATTATAGCAGACCTTTTAACTTTAAAGACAGGAGAGTGAAGTATTTCAAGACCTAAAAGCAAACAACTTTCAATCCAGACTACTATATCCAGCAAAGCTATCTTTCAAAACTGATGGAGAAATAAGAACTTTTCACAACAGCTCCTTAAGAAATTCATAACCACCAAACCAGCACTTCCAAAAAAATTACTGAAGAATATCCTAGAGACAATAAAACTAATGATATGAAAAAGTGATGGAATGAGTACATCAACAGGATGAGTTGTTAAACAAAAAAGGGAAAATAGCCCTTTTTTTCCCTTCACTCTTGAATCCCTTTTTCCCTTCACCCTCGAATCCCTTTTTCCCTTCACCCTCTTTTCCCCTTAGCCCTTCTCCCTTTTCCTGCTACTGTCCCATGATCTCCAATAAATGTAGCTACTTACTACATACTAAAAAAAAAAGGGAAAATAAAGGAGTCAACAGAATAATAATGCAATAACAGGAATAAGTCAATACTTTCAGTAATATCCCTCAATACCTTTCAGTAATAAATCATCTCAATCCCCCAATTAAAAAGATACAGATTGAAAGTCTGGATCAAAAAACAAAACTTGACTGTTGAATACAAGACTCTTATCTAATTAACAAAATTCATAGACCAAAATTCAAAGGATGAAAAATAATTTTCCATGCCACTGGACCCCAAAAGCATGCATGGGTAGCAATTTTACACTTAGACTAAGCGAACTTCAAGCTAAAACTGATCAAAACAGGCAAGAAGATAACTACATATCAGTTAAGGGGCCAATAGGAAGTGATAGCAATTATAAATGTATATGTACCAAGTACCAGCACTCCCAACTTCATAAAACACTATTAGACATAAAAGATCAAATAAACACCAGCACAATCATTGAGGGGGGTCCCCAATATTGCATGGTCCACTAAACAAAAAAACTAACAAAGAAATATCAGAGATCAAGCACACTTTCAAACAAATGAACTTAATACATAGCTACAGAACATTCTACTCTACTAAACAGAATACACATTTTTCTCAGAAATACTGAGTTTTGTTCTAATAGACTACATAGTTGCCCATAAATCTTGCTTAAATAATATCATCCTGGGTATACTATCAGATCTATAATTCACAGAAACTACAAATCAATTGCAACAGAAGCCACAGAAGTTTTGTGAACAACTACATATTAAATAACGTGCTCCTGGGCCAGGGATTTAGCTCAGTGGTTCCACCGCCTGCCTCGAAAGTGAATTTGATCCCTGGTACTGGAAAAACAAACAAAAAGCATACTCTTGAATACTCAATGGTTATAGAATAAATCAAGGAAGAAATTAAACAATTCCTACAATCAAAGGATTATATCAGTACAACATACCAGAACCTATGGACACAATACAAGCAGTTCTAAGAGGGAAGTTTTGCTGTGAATGCTCACATTAGAAAAACAGAGCAAGCCCAAATAAGCAATTTAACGACGTACCCCAAAATCCTAGAGAAACAAAAACAGTATAAGGAAGGAAATCATAAGTAGTAGACCAGAAATTAATGAAAATTAGACTAAAAATATAATTAATTGAAGAGCTGGTTATTTGAAAGAATAAATAAAACAGACAAAACCTTAGCTAAACTTACCAATAGTAGGAAAGAAGACCCATATCAATGCAATTAGAAATGTAAAAGGCAAAAATCACAGCAGAGTTCATTAATTGTATATAGAAGTACTGCTGGTTTTTGCATGTTTATTTTGTATCTTTCTGATTTACTGAATTTGTTTATTAAGTTCTAATAAGCTTTTCGTGGAGTAATTTGTTTTTCTATGTATAGAATCATGTCATCTATAAACATAAATAATTTAACTTCATCCTATCCAATTTGGATGTCCTTTGTTTCTTTCTCTTGCCTAATTGCTGCTGTTAAGACATCCAGTACTGTGTTATAAGAGTGGTTAAAGTGGACATCTTTGTCTTGTTTCCAATATTATAGGAAACACTTTCAATTTTTCCACTTTCAGTACATTGGCTATGGATTTTCCATGTATAGACTTCATTCACTTGAGATTTCTTCCTTATATACCTAATTCATTGAGAGTTTTTAAAATCAGGAAGTGATGTAGACTCTTACCAAATCCTTTTTCTGTATCCATTGAAATGATCATATGGCTCTTGTTCTTCATTCTGTTGATGTGATACATCAGGTTCACTGATTTGCATGTGCTGAACCATACTTTTAGCCCTGAGATGAATCCTACCTCATCATGGTGTATGATATTTTTCATATGATGTTGAATTTGGCTTGCTAGCATTTTATTGATAATTTTTGCACCTATGGTGATTAGAGAAGTGGGTCTGTAGTTTTCTTTTTTATTGTGCCTTTGAGTGATTTTGGATAAGGGTAATAATAGCTTTTTAAAAAGAGTTTAGTAAAATTCCTTGCATTTTTTGAAGTTTAAGAGAAATTAGAATTGGGTCTTCCTTACATGTTTTGTAGAATTCAGTTGTAAAGCCATAAGGTCCTGGGCTGTTTTTAGATGGGAGCTTTTTAATTAGTATTTTCAATCTAATTATTTGCCTGTTTAGATTTTCTGTTTTTTCTTGATCCGGTTGTGGTACATTGTACATGTCCAGGAATTTATTCATGTCTTCTAGGTTTTACAGTTTTCTAGCATGTACTTGCTCATGGTAGTTTCTTGTGCTTTTTAAAATTTCTGTGATATCAATTATAATTTTTCCTTCTTTATGTCTTATTTGACTTTTCTCTCTCTTCATTAGTGTAGCTAAAGTTTGTCAATTTTATTTATCCTTTCCAAAAAACCCCACCTCTGTTTCACTGATCTTTTTAAAATTTTTGATTTTAATTTTTTGTCTGATATTTCTGTCCTATTAAGTTTGGATGTGGTTTGTTCTTGCTTTTCTAAGCCTTTGAGGTGCATTGTTGAGGTGCTTGTTTGATGAATCCATTTATTGCTATAAACTTCCTCTTCATTACTAATTTTGCTGTGTCCCAAAGATATTGGTTTATTGCCTTGTCATTTTTATTAATTTGTAGAATTTTTTAATTTCCCTTTTTTCTTATATTATTCATTCATCATTTTAGAGCATTCTACTCAATTTTCATTTGTTTTGATATTTTTACTCTTCTTGCTGATTTGTAAATTTTAATCTGTTGTGGTCCAAGAAGATGCATGATATAATTTCAATTTTCAAAAATTTATTAAAACTTGATTTGTGGCTTAACATATGATCTATCCTGGAGAATATTCCATGTGCTGATTAGAAGGATGTGTATTCTGCTATTTGACAATACATTCTGTTACAGCTTCAGCCCAGTTTTCATCCCAGTCTCTTGAGCTTGGAAGCCTTATTGTAGCTTGTGTTCGTTCCTTAGGAACTTGAAATAAGGCTGTTGTTTTTTTGTCATATTGAGCCACGTGCCCTTGGTACTTACCTGTAGCAAAGCAGGAGGTGACGAACTCATTAATGCTCTATGCTTTCCCTCCCTACCTACTCTACACATTCACCCACCACACACATCCACACTCAGATGTAGTGGAGTCTAAGATTGTATTTTAGAGGATTTTATGGAAAGGAGTTGGAGTTGGGTTTTACTTAGTTCACAGAAAAGCTTTCTTTTGGATTTTCTTTCCCCTCGGGGCCTTGGAGTCTAGGTACCTAAGTGAAAGTTCACATAACTAATTGTTTTGTCTCTCTGTAATTAGCTACTAGTTTTTACTCCCTAGACCTTCTCTCCATCAGTGTTTTATCTGTGTGTCTGCCTTGATCCTTTGTCCTTGAATTCCCATCTTGCTTAGATATTTAAGTTAGTGTATCTTGACAACAATATTTAAGATGGAAAAGTCCTGAAGGAAACTTACCAGGTTCTTTCCTTTAGCTCGCTTGTCCGTATGTCCATCCTTCCTTTCTTTCATTTCTTTTTCCTTTCTTTTTTTCTATTTTCCTTCTTTCCTCCCTCCCTTCCTCCTTTCCTACCTTCTTTCTTCCTTCTTCCCTCCCTCCTTCTCCCTTCTTTTTTTTTTTTTTTTTTGAGATACTGTAAATTGGTAACCAGGGATGCCAAGCAGGCTTGGTTCAGTGGCTAAACCTCTTATTGTATTACAGTGTAATGCTGATCTCAGCCTGGTCTCCACACCAGAGCACACAGAGACTTGAATAAAACTGTTGTAATGATTGAAAAAAAAATATTCCTTTGTCCTTCTATAAGTGCTCCCTTTCATAAACAAGAAATTTTACTAAGTTTTATGTTATGTTAAGTGTTATGTTAAAACTAAGAGAATTGACAGAGAAGAGCAGATAATGGAGAAGGGTAATTCAAAGCTGACTTGTATACCTTTTGGCCTTAAGAAATTTAATAGCACTCTACACAAAGTAGCTCTCTGGGTGCTCAGCTTAAGACAGTTCTCTTTGGGAAAATTTTTCCTCTCTACTGTGCTTCAGGGACATACTGAGTAATGTTATCATGCAGCTACTTTCCAGTTTTGACTGACACCTGTGTGTTGATCCAACTCGTCCATAACCTCTCCATAAAGGAGAATTGCCATGAGGCTGGAGTAGGAGGACTGGCATGAGCTCAAGCTCAGCCTGGACTACATAGTAGTTAAGGCTAGCCTGAATTACATAGTGAGACCCTATCTCAAAAAACAAAATAAAACAAAGCAAAACAAAACAACCCTTCATCTGGTCATACAGCACCCCCTAATAAAACAATTGCTGTGAGTTGAGAGAAGCATTTTGGTACACATTTGATGGGTGTGGTGAGTGACATGGGAGTCTGAGTACTTGCTCCTGTAGCTTGCTTATGCTTTATAGTTCTGTTCATGCTCAGTATTCCAGATGTACCATTTTATCTTTTGACAGATTTCTGCTAGGCTCTCTGACCATGATTTGGGGTTGTCTTACAGGACCCAACTTATAAATGGAATTTCTGAACATCTCAAACAAAGTAAAACAACAGGCCAACCAAGTGTCAGAAAAGGATGGAATTATATATTTAAAATGCTGGGAGGAATAAAAACAATAGTTTAGAAGAGTGTATTAGTTAAAGAGTCTCTCAAGAATTAGGACAAAATAAAGATATTTTAAGATACATAAAGAGTGAAGGGACTGTTCCACCTACAGATGTTCACTAAATTACAACTGTAGTGTATACCTTTGTTAAATTAGTAACCCCCAAAGAAAGTCATGATATACAAGAAAGAATGATAATAGTAGGTATTGATAAGAATTCACCCAGAAATTCAATTTAGTTACTTATTGAAAATGATTTCTTGTTTGTGTGTTAATAAATAAAAAGTGAAACTAAAAATTCTAGACAATTATAATAAAAGAGGAATGATATTCATTGACTCTGATTAAATCATCTTAAGATCCTTAAATTGTTCAGAAAGATATCAGAGGTACTGAGTCACTTTAAACTCTGTTATAATACTTTGTACTTAATTATCTATGAAAAATATGTTAGTAAATTAAAAATTAAAAGGAAGCAGAAAAGAAAGTTCACAATGGTAAGAGGAAGAGTAAGGTAGCACAATGTTGTAGAATCACAGTTTGTAAAATTTTCAAAAAAAGGTGATCCATAATGTGAAATTATACAGACATCAAAAATATGAGGATGAAGACTTGCCTGTTGAACATGATAGTGGGTTATTAGTGACTTTTCAAAAAAATATTTCATTGGGAACTGGGAAATAAAGGGTTAAAGGATGAGTGAGTGAATGGAAAAGGAGAAAGAAATAAATATTTGTTAATATAGTCTACAGTCCATGGTAAGTTTTTTTCTTTTTAAAGAAAAAGTAATTGGACTCAGACTGTCCACAAATGAAGTAAGATAACATCCTATCTTATCTCACAAATCCCCTTGACAAATAGCTCTTCTTGCCTTTTCTCATTATTTCCAGGTTTCAATCTTGCAGACATTTATCTTCCAGTACCTTAAATGATACAGGTAGAGCAGGATTGCAGACATAGGGTGTGCTGTGTGGGCCATGGGGTTTTGCCAGTAAAGATTATTTACTTGTCTCCTATGTTCAAACACAGAGTCTGAGTCTAATAATTATACCTTCACGTTGAAAGGTACAACTTCATTCAGAAAAAGTACTCTCAAGTACATCTTTGTTCTCTGAGGGAAAATAAATAAGAGTCAGGTTCCTACTGTGTCATCTTGGAAAACTAGGCTACCCTGTATTTTGCTGCTGGATTCAATACCCCCTGATTTTGTGTGCATGTTTGACTGACCTCATGAACACTGCTATTTTTTAGTGAGCTTTGAGTTTAAATATTTTCTTACTTTGCTCATTTTCTTCTCAATTCATTTCACATCCCTGGCTTTCTTGTTTATTATTTGGCTTATTATTTTTTGTTCTCAATGTGCTTAGCTGCATTTTAACTGCTTATGCAAAACACTGAATGCCCTGTTAATTGGAACATAATATTTTATAAATGAAGGCACTGTAGTAACAATCATTAGTTGTAATTATAGTTTAACTGATTTACACATTTTGTATCCAAGAAAGTAAGACATGTTTGACAATTTGCAAATTTAAGCTGTGAAACTCTAACTTGGCAAAGACTGCTTTTTGATATTAAATCTCTTTGAAGGCAATGGATTAGAGGTAGCTTTGCACATAGCTATTTCAATTTCCAAATCTTAAATTAAAAATTCTAGTGGTTGCAAAACTAATAGGATATTGTAGATACATAAATTACATAGGGAGGAAATCTTAGTTAATTTTTTAAGTTTATACAATAAATGGTCAAGTTTATTCTATAACATCCTTGAAATTGTAATGTAGCAGATAAGAAAGTATCATTTAGATAAGTTGTTTCCATACAAATACTGTATTAGATGTTTTAAAAGATTTACTGTAAGTATAATTAAGCATGCATAAGGTAGATTAAATCTTGGTTAGAGCGCCAATCATTAAAGATCTAACAAGGCAAAAAGAGGTAGGTGCTAAATAAATTAGCAAAATTATCAAGGGGAAAAAAGATGATATAGCAAAAGAGAAAATACTGTTGATAGGAATACAGAAAGTTGGGAACTTTGAAGATGCACAGTTTCATTTTTCAGATGAATAAAGTAGAACTCAGAAAGCTTTTCCAATGATGAGCCCCATGTTAGTGGTAGGGGAAGCTAACACTTGCTCTTTCTGCTCTGTCATGCTGCCTCCCAGTGACCAATGATTATTTTGTTATATAAAGGGCATATTGCAGCTGGCAAGCTCTTTCTCAAAACAAGTGAACAAACAAAAAATCTACTCCACCTCTGGCCTCCCTTAGCTCCTAGAACATTCTGTTCGTGGGTACTTCTTTCTTTCTATACTCACTTCTTTCTGTGTCTCATTGACTTTTTATTTGCTGGTTCTAAGTTTATTGCTACTTTCATGGATTTGTTTTTCACTTCTACAGACTCAACTTTGTTACATGTAAATGAGAGAACTGGAATAGCCTCTTTTAAGTTTTAAAGGCAGAATCAAAGATAATACAAAAGCATGGGTGTTATAAAAATTTTTGTTTAAAAAGTAGCATTGTCAGAACATTTTACTAAGGATAATATACACATTGCAGTTAAGCATTTGAAAAGATATTTAACATCATATGTCATTAAAGAATAGCAAATTGAAACAATGAGATATCACTATAAACATTCTAAACTCAGCACAATTCAAAACACTGACAATGGCAAATACTGGTCAAGATGTGGAACACTAAGAATTTTCATTCACTGCTGGTAATAATGCAAAATGGCACAATCATGTTTGAAGACAGTTTGGGAGTTGCTCATGAAACTAAAGTTCTTACCATATGGCCCAGCACTTATACTCCTTGGTATAATCCCAAGTATGAACCCTAGTGCAAGCTGTAGACTTTCAGTAATAATAATGCATTAATTAAGTTCATTGAGTGTAAAAAATGTTCTTTGCAGTGCAGGATGTGAACAGTGGGGAAGGTTGTTTGTGGGTACTTGGAAAAGAATTTTTTTCAGTTTTGCTGTGAACTTAAAACTGCTTTAACAATGTTTATTAATTTAAAAAATTTAAAAACATAGCATTGTGTTTTAATTATTTTTTTAAATTTTCCTTTTTTTTGGTACGGGGGATCAAACTCGGCACCTTGCACTTGCGAGGCAGGTGGCAGCACCACTGAGCTAAATCCCTGGCCCTCAGTATTGTGTTTTAAAAGACAAAAACATGTAGAATAAAATGATATGATTTTTAAGGCATGTGAACTGTGAAATTTGTCTCCACTGAGGCTCAGTTCTTTTCTTTTCTTTTTTTTTGTTATTTTTTTGTTATTTTATTTTTTAGATTGAGAATCTCTTTGCAAAATATTATAAAGGGGGCAGGTAAAATATTATAAACCAGGGGACTTGAGTTTCATTTAAGGGATGGTCTCCATTTAGGGAAATGCCTCTATATGTTTTTCTGAGTTTGGCAAGTGAAACCTTGAGAGTGAGGCCCAGAAGGCATCTGCAATACAATGAGAGAACTAAGCAATTAAGTCCCAAGAATAGAGATGCGGTGGGTGAAGGGCCAGGATAAAAGGCAGGGCAGGATGAGGTAGAGAAAAAAGCCAAGCAGCATAGATAGGAAACTGGATCCTGTTAAAAAAGAGAAAAATCCTCTAGAGGCACAAAAGCCAAGAACTTTAAATACCATGAATACCTAATTTACACTCTTTGGTTGTAGGTGTTTTGGCAGTGTAATAACCTACCATATGACATTGTCTGCATGGTTTGGGAACCACTGAGGAAAGATGCTTTTATAGAAAAGAGAAGAAGCAGATACAAAAAGTGAGATGTATGAGATCAAGATTTTAGGAGAAGAGCCACAGCTGACTACGAGGATGCACGACCACAGAGTAAAAGCAATGGAATTTCTCACCTATCCCAAAGACAAGATGAGATTCCAGTTGACAGATGAGATGACTGGATTCATAGGATGGTTGTGCAGACATTGGAAGGTATGCAGTGCAGTGCTTGACACATGACAATAAAAACTTAGTAAGCACTCAATGGTTTCATATAGCCCTGCGCCGCACTGGAACTGAGACAACCTTGACTTTGAGGATTATCTCTGAGTGAGATAATAGGAAAGATCTGATGGAAGAAAATCCTTACCTGACACCTAACACAGCATGATACCTGAGAGTGTGAAAATGCCATTTACCCAGTGAGGGGACAGTGCCTGCTAGAAGAAAAGCTTTAACTCAAGCAGTATGGCCGTGAGAATAGAGGTAAGACATGTTATTTCTTTCAGACTTGTAGAAGTATTGATCATATAAGCTTAGAAAATATCATATATTGTGAGAATTCTTAATGATAAGATTAAGTTAAATATAAGAAAAGCTGTCTTTGATAATTCAGAAGAAACTTCAGGATCTTGGAATGGCTCAGGCTCACCAGTACAGGCAAAAATTGTTGTTCAATAGAACTTCAAAAGAATCTTATTATTAAAGTGTTCTGGGTGTTTTATGCTTCTGGATTAATAAGAGATTACTTTAAATCTCAAAATACAAATATTCTTTGTTTTTTTTTGGTACTAATCCTGTGAGGCTATAATGATATATGAAATATCATGAGGACTTAAATATTTGGCTATTTTGAATTTTGGTAATGTTAGAATAACCGGATCTGTCATTTATTTTTGGAAGTTTATCTCAAGTCTTAGAGATATATTGTTTAATGATGAAAAGCTAAATTTTGATTTTCTAACCTGGTTTTCCCAACATTGCCCTTTTGTAATGATAGGAGAGGTTAGGCAATTCCTGGTCATCTCTTGGTCATTTGCCTAATCCTCCCACTGAGATAGGTAAACAAAATGGTGATAATCCAATGAGTTCTGCAGTGTTCCCTGGAAAAAGCATGGGCTTTGCAGTCCTACAGAACTGAGGTTGGATATCATTTCCTAGATCTGTGACCTTGGAGAATTTAATGTTTCTGAGACTCAGTTTCTTTATCTGTAAAAGACAGATAATATTTGCCAATTGAAGAAACTGCTAATGAGTACCAATATTCACATTCTCCTTTTCTTCCTGGGCACAGTTAAACTATGTTTTTCAGCCTACCTTCTAGATTGGTGTCTCCATGGCTGAATTCTGGCCATGGGAATTCAGTGAAAATAATTACACCACTTCCTTGCTTGGCTCACAGAAATCTTCCACATGTTATTTTGCTTCTCTGCCTGCTGGCTGATGGGAGAAGACTCTAGAAACCTATGAGAGAGAAGAGCTGTAGACAGAAGAAGCCTGAATCAGAACCTGTCATCAGTCCTTGGTACTATATCAGATGTAAGGAAGTAGTATTGAGCCATTGAAACTTGGGGGGATGCTGTTCAGCTCTTAGCCTGATTTGACTAATGTTCCTTATAGGATTATTAAGAATATCACAAGAGGAATAGTTTGTTAAGTAAATGGCAGTTACCATCACTGTCATTTTTCACATATATAAACCTGTAAGGATTCAGGCATTATAGGTGCTAGAGATTCCCAAAGTGACCAGACTCCACAAGATTTGAACTAGCAGGATGGGCTTTTTGCTATTTTAATTAGATCCATTGTTACCTTCCCAGATTTCTTGGTGGTGTTGATAGTTAGTTAATTTACTGAAAGATTTTGAGGTTACACATTTAATCTCTTTTCTGTCTAATTTTACCCTTTATCATTGTAGCATATGATATTCCTAATTTAAGTTTTAAAACTTACACCTGTAATTGCATACCATTTTATACCTATGAAAAATTAGGCTACTGCTGGTAGCCTGGTTGGTAAAATAGAATTTTAATGCTAGCCACATGGATAATTTTAGCATAAAAATTAGCAGTCACATTTAAAAATTTAAAAATACCAGATAAAATGAATTTTAATATCCTTTAACTTAATATATGTAAAATATTGTCATTTCAAAATGTAATTAAAATATTATTTTTCCTTTTTTGTGTATGTGCTTATTCTCTGAAATTAATGTGGTCATCCTGACCACACATCTCCATTGGACTAACCTAATTTCATTTATATAGTACTTATCATATTAAACATTTATATAGTACTTATCATATTAAACAGCTTAGGGAAAGGCAAATCAAACAAGTATTAATACTTTAGCCAAAAAAAGAAACTTCACAATCATGTGCACTGATATTGAGTTAGTCACATTTTCTTTGTTTATGGGGAATGGCATTATTTTTGTTGTTGTTCTGAACCATAGACATGAGAGGGCAAATGTCCCCTCCAAGAGGTGAGCACTATGCATATGAAGCATCATTTTTCTGAAGACACTAGTCCTGAAGCTTCTTTGCAGCTCCACTGTCTGTGGTACTTTATATGTAGAAGGCTCTTACCGAAAGTACTCAATGGAGATGATCAATGTTCACACAGTTATGTGCTCAACATTCATACATGTATAGTAAAAATATTTGTAACTCTTATAGAAAAACTAACATTTTGAGTACATTTCCTGAGGGGTACCAGTGAGCCTGAATTTCAGTGACCTCCAAAGTCTAAGAAAGCAGTAAAATATTCATTTTTTTAAGGAAGAACTAATGGTGTTCACAATTTTCAAGGGAAATTTCTTTGTTAGGATATAGATTCTTAGATATCTATTTTTGAATTTTTATTTTTGTTAGTGGACATTTTCAGTCTTTTTAAGACCCCTTCCCCTCCTCTCCCTCCAAGAAATCTATTATTGTGTATTATAACACACATCTATCTTGTTTCAATGAAAGCACAGAAACCAGTCACTTCCCAGTATACAAAAATGAAAAGCAGAATTGAATTCAAAGACATTGGATTTACCAATGTAAACAACCTTTGTATGGCCTGGTTACTTTAAAGATGACAAGCAGTCATTCCCAGGAGAGAAATAATATGTTACAAGTTTGAAAGAAAATGAATTATTCAAGATGTCATGTCATGAAAAGGAAATAGTGTCTTTAACTTTCAAAACACAAAAGAGAATTTAGCACATTGTACTAGAGAAATTAGAGATATATTTGATGCTTGGAAAGTTAGTTTTAAGAAAAAATTACTATGTTTTTATCTACTATCACAGAAAGAGGACTGAATATATTTATCAAACTTGGGAAAATTCAGAGGGAAAGAAGCATACAAAAATCAGAGAATAGAAAAACTTATGGCTAAATGCAGATTGTTAAGTGATAACAAAGAAACAGGTCATATTTAATATAGCTGCATGTTAAAATTACTGATAGGTTGCTTCTTTTTACTGGGCTCATCTATCTTAGAGCCATTATTAAAAACTTCTTGGGACAGGGATTTAACTCGATGGTTCTGCCACATGCCTCGGAAGCACAAGGACTGGAGTTAGATCCCTGGTACCAAAAACAAAAAAACAAAAAAACCACTTCCCTCTCCTCCAAAACTATTGAAAAACTGAATGGTGTGTTCCATAGCTCACTATGAGTTTATTCTATCAATTCTATAGATATGATAGTACTGATTTAGTCCCTAGAGTCTGGATTAGATCCCATTTTTGAAAAGAATAGCCTGTGTTCTCCACTGACCAGAGGCCAGCTAACTCATCAGAGTAGAGGCCATTTGGATTTTTCTGTCTTTTCTCCTTTCTCCTTCTCCTTTTCTTCTTTTTCCTCTTCTTCATAGCCCTCTTCCTTCTTCTCTCTGCTCTCTTTTCCTCCTCTCCTTTTCTCTCTTCTTTTCAGTATTGAGGATTGAATCTAAAGCCAACCTTTTTTTATTCTTTTATTATTATTATTTTGAGAATCACTAAATTTCCTAAGTTGGCCTCTCGCCTTAATCTCTTTACAGACAAAGTAAGAAGAGTAATGAGAAACTTTTTGATTTATTAAGAGAAGGAATAGAGCTGTTCCTTAATTTTCACCATTGTTTGCCATGACTCTTCAAAGTTCTGTACTAGATTAATACATTTTTTTCATGGAGCATGAAGTATATAATCATGCATTTTTTAATTAAATTCTTTTATTGGTATATTGTAAGTATACAACACAATTACATTTCTCATCGGGAATTGTACCTTTACATAATGCATCTTGGTTCTTACTTTTTCCCCATTCCTAGCCCTCCCTTCATGCCCTCCACCCTTCCCTATTTACAAAGACTTTATTTCCA